ATGGAATAGTCTGAGTATCACCACTAGAAACAGCATATCTTTTAGCAGCTTTAAAAATAACATACATAAAAAACCAGCAGACCCCCCTTCTTATTTCTCCCATGGTAATAGACGACTTAATATCATACATACTAAACTACGACACAATTGCATTTTAAATTATGATCTTTATAGAAGAAACATTATCGAGAGTCCTAACTGTTCATGTGGTACACCAGAAGACCCATATCATTTTTTCTTTGTCTGCAATAAGTACCAATATGCTAGAGAAAAGCTATTCAGAGATTTACTGTGTCTTACGAAACCAAATATCAAATTGAACATTATTGATTGTCATTTACTTCTGTGGGGAGATGAGTCACAAAATGTAGAAATCAATAAATATATTTTTCAGTCAGTTCATAAATTTATAAGAGATTCTGGTAGATTTAATTAACTATTACTGCCTAACACTTACACTCTATATATCTATATAATTATATATTTATCATAATTATGTAACAAATGTATGTTTCAATTTAACAAACTTGTTTGTACATCAATATTCCTTTTCACTTATTTTCCCTATGTATATATATTGACAGTTGTATGGTGAGAACCTAGTAAGTTGTTAGAACTTGTGTTCAAACCATTTGTATAGTATTTATACAATAAAATATGTTCAAACCACTAAAATTCTACAAAGTGGTATTGATGGAAAATGTTTTAGATTTATTAGAAATATGTATAATGGTATTAAGTCAAAAGTACAAATAGGTCATCAGTTATCAGACTTTTTTATGTGTAATGTTGGTGTTAGACAAGGGGAAAATTTATCACCCTTTTTATTTTCATTGTTCATTAATGACCTAGAATTATTTAACAAGAAATCAAATTAATGGTTTTACATGTCCTAGTCAACAAACGCAAGATGATATGTTTGTTATGTTAAAACTGTGTATACTTTTTTATGCCGATGATACGGTCTTAATGTCTGAATCTGCTTCTGATTTACAAAAGTCACTTGATGTTTTTGCTGAATACTGTGATGTATGGAAACTCCGTGTTAACATAGCCAAAACAAAAGTCCTTATTTTTTCTAAAGGTCCAATGACAAAGCGTAAATTTTTATATAACGGTGTAGCTATTGAAAATGTTAAAGAATTCTGTTATCTGGGTTTATTCCTGTCAAGAAGTGGGAAGTTTAACAATGCAAAAAAACATTTAACCCAACAAGCATCAAAAGCAATGTATGGAGTCTTACGTAAAATTCGATATTTTAATTTACCAATTAATTGTCAGTTAGATTTGTTTGATAAAGTCATCAACCCAATTTTACTTTATTCGTGTGAAGTATGGGGATACGAAAATTTAGACATAATAGAAAAAGTTCACTTGAAATTTTTGAAATTTATTCTTAATCTTAAATCTAGTACTCCGAATTGTATGGTGTATGGAGAAACAGGTAGATACCCTCTGTCTACATTTATAAAATTAAGAATAGTTATGTACTGGGCAAAAATTTTAACAGCTCACGAAAGTAAGCTTACAAAAGTTATTTATTCATATTTTTATAGATGTTATAATGATGGGTCGTTTGTACATCCATGGATAAAATGTGTACAAGACGTACTTAATTCTTGTGGATTGTCCTATGTATGGACAAGTCAATCATTTATTAGTTATAATTGGCTTAAGTCAATCATTAAAGATACCCTAAAATGTCAATTCGAACAAGAATGGAGAAGCATTGTTTATAGTTCATCCAAGTGTATTAATTATAGAATTTTTAAAACAGATTTTGGTTTAGAAAACTATCTGATGAATTTACCAAAAGATTTAAGAGTTACATTTACAAAACTTCGAACTTGTAATCACCATTTGCCAATTGAAAAGGGTAGATGGCATAATATTGACAGAAATTTAAGAATATGTACTATGTGTGATTTTAAAACTGTTGGTGATGAATATCACTATATTATGGAATGTAAGTACTTTTCAAAAGACAGAGAAATATTTTTCCCAAACAGATTTTGTAATAATCCCAACACTTTCAAATTCAATGAACTAATGAGTAGTAATAATGCAGAGATACAAAAATCATTATCACTATTTATAAAGAAAATTTTTAAAACTGTCTGTCCTTCTTGATTCCTCCGTGTGTTTTTTATAGATGACTACAGTCTTTTTTTTTTTTTTTTTCACTCTTTTCGAGTTTCTATATATTCAATGTACTTGTCTATCTCTTGACCCTTGACTGTAATATTTTTTTGCTTGTATATATGTATATATGTACCTCTTGTACCAGTGATCTGGTTTTGAGCGAATAAAGAATTGAATTGAAATTGATCAAATAATTCCCCTACTTAAAATGGTCATAAAATGTGTGCCTTTGTTAAAAACAAACACAAATCCTAACAGTGACAGAAAATTCATCAGTACGACTTTTTCAAAGAATTCATTTCTTTCCTGATATTTCCAAATATTCTTATGAAGAGCTAGACCATGTAGGACTTGTAGGCTAAGTTTTCAAGTGCATCAGCACCATAGAATAGAGGATGGATGGAAGAAAACACAAAATCATACTGTGACACCCATTTCAGTGCAAACCCTCCTAAAGAAACAAGATTATCTTGATACCCAGTTTTTCTGTAGTCTCCGGTCCATAAGGTATTTAATCTTCATACTGCCAATATACTGTAAACAAAAACAGCAACTGATACCACTGTCTAACAAAGGAGGCAACTTGTTCACAACAAAACCAATGGCAAGGAATCTTTCTTCAGCCTTATCAAAGCATATACAGAATTCCCCCTTATACACGGCCTGTATGAAATGCATGTTGACACTAGAGTTAAGCAGTGAAGGGTAATATGTTCAGGAATTAGATCTATTGAAGTTATTCCTTGATGCTATAAGCCTTAGTATCTGATGTTTACTTGCACTCTATGATTAGCCCTGACCAAATGTTTTCCAAACAATTTTGTTGTAGCATAAACATGATGCAGACTCCTGTAGCACTAATTCCCTAACCTTATTTTTAGAAAGATAAGGATATAATTAGGTTTTCTGAAGCTTCAAACATTTGTTTATTTGCATCAGTTTCATTAAATAGATAAACCAGTCATTTTTCAAAAGCATCTCCAAAATGATAAGCTGACGTTAAACCTTATCAAAACAATTTGTTCTGCACTTGTTCAATCTCAACAGAAACCAAAAATTTCAATTGCTTAAAAAACCAAAGTAGAATTTTAATGTAAGCCATTTCAATATATACATGCTTGAATGATATATCACGTTAGGTTTAGCAATTCCCCGTATTTTATATCAATCCTCTTCTTTTGAACAATGGGGATGTAAAGTTGTTTCCTGGTTTGGACCAGATGTCCATCTCTGAAATCGGACAGAAAAAATGACTGGGGGTCAGATGCAGCCCGGAAGACTAATGGAAGAGCTTTGTTTCCAAAATTACCTGCATAATCATTTGGAGCTTTATCTGTACCATGCTGATTAGAGGAGATGAATGGATTTCCAATAAGGCCTCATTTTGTGGGTCTGTGGACAAAGCTGGGCAGGTTGTGTTCCACCTCTGGCCAATTCATGTCCTATAAAAATCAATACCTGTAATTTAATAAATTGATAGCTTCTCTCTCTCTCTCTCTCCTAATGCAATCCCTCCTTTCTCTCTCTCTCAATGCAACCAAGAGAACATGCTGGTAGCAAAGGACAAGCAATTGATAGCTTCTCTCTCTCTTTCTCTCTCTCTCAATGCAATCAAGTGAACATGCTGGTAGCAAAAGACAAGCAATTATCTAGATGAAGCATATAGAAGTGTGGGAGTAGACATGGTAACAACAGCTTTCAGAAGTACATGTATCACTATAGGGGGGTTCCAATGATGTAAACAAAACACCATTCTTCCCCTCCCTCCATTCTGTCTTATCCAATAGGAACGACCTTTACATACACTCATCATGGAATGTTGGTCAATGAATTCACATATGACTCTTCCACACAATTAAGCCCTGTTTTTGTTATTCTACATAAATCAATGGGAAATCTACTGTTGTAAACATGAGGAATGTTTATGCTTATTGTTGTTTACCTTTGACAACCAAGTACTGGGTCGCTAAAATTGCCTCCACTTTGATAAATGTCCACGCTACCATTATCATGTTTATGGGATCATATTTGACTTCGGTGAGGCATAAAATGTTCATTTCTCTTAGTATGTAAATAAGTAATTTTTTATAAGTGCTTCATGCCAATCATCTTTTAAAGCGATTATTATTGAATTGATTTTCATTATGTATGCAAAACTGTTTGAATTAAAAAGAAACAGATATTATGAAACAGAATATCCCTCATAGAATTTTCAAAATTTAGTTGATTCCAGAATTAAGTTCAATAATACACATGCTAAATAATAATATCAAAAATTCTTTTGAAGAAAAAAACCCAGCTACTAGTACTCCTGCAATATAAAAATTAAATGTGAAGGACAGACCAGCTGTACCCCTAGGTTACCTAGTAGCTAACAGCTGGGAAGTTTCAGTCTTCACCTTTGTAGATTTTGCCAATATTTTTTGTGATTTTTCCCCCCATAGCATTTTTTTTTTTCATAAATTGAAGACATCCATTCCCTTCAACTACCACCACGTTTCAATTACACGAGATTTTCTTCAATTCAATATATGTACAGCATGATGTGCTGCTACCAACAAATGGTTTAGAATTAGTAACCAAAGACTCTTTCTTATCCTACTATAAGTACTAAGTACTAGTACTTTTAATTGTTAATGCTCAAGATCATCACTATTTGGACGCCTTAAGACCCCCTAGATTACTGATCAACACACCTTATAAATCAAGAACTCGTGCAAAATGACCGATAGATTTTCAACTTGGTGACCCAACTAGGTAAAGCCTGTATACATACAGTTAAAATGCTTTCCAGGTCACAGCCTGTTTGATTTATTTACCTCTTCTAAACACACACACACATACGTCAAAGAAATTTACTTCTTAAAAATTGTTGGTGTAATGGTGTAAACAAAAAATATCACACTTTACATGAATAGCGAGACATGGGTATTGTGTACATAGAAAACTTTAGTCTACTTAAGTCTTGCATAATCTTAGTGAATCAATTTCCAATCTGCTTACTCTTTTCGACAATGATGCATGCCTGCATACATGCACAGTAAAAAATCACAAAAAGTCTTGCAATGTGCACCAGCATGAAGAACAACAGGTTGTTTGTATTCTCAAATTTACATAGCTACAAACGATTTAATGAATTCCACGAAAACATTCAAAGACAACTCCGCTGGAATTCCAAACTTTTCAGCCAACATTGAGACAGAGATAGCTATAAGGAGTTCTTAGTGGGCACATTTTCTTTTCCTCCGATAAAAAAAAATTCTTCCAACCAAGTTTTTTTTTCAGAAAAGATCAAAAACTTTGTAGCCCTATCGTAAAAGCATTCTTGCTTGCTGTGTAGTTATTTAATGCAGCATATTTTATTTATACACAGAGTATATTAATAGTTGAGTTTTTCTTTACAACTTAAATCAAACACATTTCAAGTCCCTTTTAGTATATATATGAAATTTGCCCTTGAAATTAATTTACAATTGGTGCCTTAAATTCTTTTTTTCCAGAAGTGATGTACGTTATTAAATTAGATACTAGATAGTGCTCCAATTTAATATTTGCATTGAAAAAGTAATCTCTCACAACTGTGAACATTACTCTTGCATTCAGTTGTAACCTCACACCTAGTGTGCACAATTCCGCAATGTCAAGGAGAGGAGCTTTAAAATTAGAACTCCAGGTAAATCAAATCTTATCCGCAATTACCCGTGCAAACAAAACCACAATAAAAGATACGAAGGCAATTGTGTGTTCTTACGCCTAACAAATCCACTAATTCACTTAAAGCTATTAAGATTTAGGTGCTTTCTAGTCAGAGACCTTTGCATGCGTTTGCTAATGAAACTTGAATTGTTGTTTATGTAACATAGAAAATATGATTTGTGTATCTTTTATATCAAACTATTAAACAAATGTAGTTAGCAACAGTACATAGAGGTATGAATCTCTCCATTCAAATATTTCGACTTGGTTAAACATGACAAGTTTAACTTGGAAAAACAAAATTTTACACAAAATGTTGATAAAACCAAAATTGTGTTTGTAAGAGAGAGAGAGAGAGATTGAAACAGATAGAAAGCCTAATTATGTATTGCTGAGATTTGCATTTTTTAAACACACCGTTCAAGACGTTCCCTATGAACAAATGGGGAGCTGGCCAAGATAAACATCTAGTCTTTCCCTATAGCTTTTTTTGTCCATCAGAAGTTCAGCTACTGGTCTCTATATTTATTGTTTTATAAACTTTGCGAGCTCTCAGTGTTTAATTCTCCCAAAAAAACATTAATAAGAGTATGAAAGAGAGCAGAGTTTAAATACCAAGCAAGTTCGCGCAATTCACCTTTATATACGTTCATAATGGAGCTGACCATAAAACCTGAACAAACCAATACAAATTTATAAAGGCTGTATGGGCTCCATGTTCCATCAGACATGTGTTTGAAGTTGATTTGATAAAAATCTTGGCCTCTGAATATGTAAACCCATAGAACAAATGTTCACCTCATGCCCATGACCCTTGTTGCATGAGATGGGAGCCAAATTTTCTTAACCGACATTCGCCTTTAATCCCTACTGACTTTGAGTAAAGATACTTTGCTTAAAACAAATACTTCCTTTCTTTGGGTCTCAGAGGAAATGCTATACTTAATCTTTTTAAAACAGTCGTATATTTAGAATTTGATTCTTTGTCCTGCCAATAGAAATATTTTTAGTCATGTGTGCTCCAAAGATCCATCGTAAAAACAACCAACCGAATCAGTTTTATCTCATTACACATCAAAGTGGTTTAATTATTCTTACTGATAAGAGGACATGGGTTTACTTTAATAAAGTTCAATAGTGCCTTTAGCCATGTCACAAGATTTTCACATATATCACAAGGACTTTTAAATCTAATCCAACCCAAGAAAAACTTTAATTTAGAGGTGTTGACATCTCCCTTGAAACTTTATCAGTTAAAATTGTGCTGCGTCAACACAAAATGTGACAGGGTCAAGATAGTCAACGATAACCTCACATTACAAATTAACTGCCAATTGTTTATAAATGACCAATTTAACATTCCCAAGACTCAAATTCAACTCTCCTTGCAAACCGATTTTGGACAATTTATCCAAGTCTTGAATGGTCCTATGATTCAAACAGTTCAAATAAAATCCAAATCTTAGTTCAAAATAACTTACAATGATTGCGTGGTACACAATACCTCTAATACTCTGTGGTTGAAATGCGATATGGCCAATTTACTGTAGTTAGAATCTTTGACAAACAGCATATGACAATAGTAGGTATTTTATGTTATTATAATGACAAACAAATCACATCTGCAGATCAAAAGCCAACTTTGAACATTCTACAGAGAACTTTAATCCTCAAACCACCTATTCCAAATTTGATCAATTGAAACACATCTTGTATCGACTTTAAAACAAATTTGATCTCTTCTTTTCTAACCAGCAGGGCTCTCACACCACTTTTTGGGACTGGGGCCGGGGCCGTTCAAATTGGGAAAATTTTCGTCATTTTGGGAAAAGTTGGATAACACAAATTCATTAAGGAAAATCCTCAAACTTTGCTTTTCTAGCATTTTATCATCAATGCTAACTCTGGTTTGAATAAACAGTTAAACAGAACAAACATGGGTACGTAGGCTATTTATGAAAGTACATTAGTAGGCTATTTATGAAAGTACATTAGCTTTGTCATTACTATCATTGAGTGTTGATATTGCGGTTATATGTCTTACTGCGTGACAGTCGCTAGTCACATAGTCCCGAATTTCCTCGATCACATGGGCAACTTTGCTTACCAATACAGCGCGAGACTGAACATGCCGAAGCGCGGGTATGTTTCTAGGTGCAGCTTACTAATGTTTAAATGAAATGTCTATTTTTGAAACCAAAATGCTGGTTTTTGTCGAAACTACATAACAAGATACTCTGCACTCATAGTTGTATACATTTTTGTAAAAACAATAACCTGGTTCCCCGAACCAGTTTACGAATGCATTTGGCGCGAACTAATAAAATAGTAGTACAGTTTCACTTTCATTTGCAAATGTGTTTTGTTTGGGTTTTTTTTTTTTTTTTTTTTGCGATTAGGTTTGATGGATGGATTTTTATTTTTTAATTAATATTTTACTCTGGATGGAAATTGGGAAATTTACACCTTTCTTTTGGGAAAAAAGGTACCTTTTTTGCATTGCTGCTAAAAATAAACTAGAATTTGTTAAGATGGGAATATCTCAAAGGGCCCTTTTATGCACTTTTGACAAAAGACATGATGGAAGGCACTTTTTCTTACGACCTTCAGAGAAAGCGCCAATGGGAGAAAAAATGCTCAATAAAAGAATTTAACAGACTTCTTATAACCTTGACCTTTGACTAACTTGGAAACTTGGCTGAAGGACATTGCACACCCTCTAAAAATAGGAACTCTGTCAATGTGT